CTGGTAGTGTGCTGGCAGTCTCTTGCTGCTTCCAAGGACTCAGGTTGATTGACAGAGTGATGTCAGCTGATACAAACTCAAGTGGAGTTTTGCTAAGACAGACCCACATCCTAAGGCAAGAAGCACAGAAGGGTCAGAGCTTTGGAGGTCATGTGATGCTTGGAGGGAGTATAAATAGGACTCAACAGATTGTGAGAGTGGCTTGCATAGCTAGCTTTGCAACAGTTATTGGTCTCCCAACTCCACTGATCACTGCTTCATTGACAGAGGCACAGCAAAGAACTTCTAGCATTCCTACTGGCCCTGTTCCCTCCTGCTGACTTGTGCCAATTTGGCTGAAGTCTAGCTATCTTTGCTAGGTTGTGCCACAGCTGCTGATTCCTATTTACTATCCCAACACTATGGAACTGGTTTTCTGGTATATACATAAAGTATTTGCAAGTGGGTCGAGCTGCTGCTGCTCATTCCTATGAGTTGAACTGCTGATTTCCTAACAACACTGATAGGAATTGCTCCAAAGAACAATTTGTAAACAGGTTCACCTCCCCCATATCCTAATAACCTTTCTTTTCTACTACTTCTGGTGGTGGTGGGCTAGAAGGGAGATCAAATGGTTTCGGAACTGTTACTAGAAGTAGGATTGAGAAAACTTAAAGCTTACAAGTGGCGCCCAGAATGGTTTAGGCATAATGGTTAACTCTACTTCTAATGTAGAGGAAATGGCAGGTTGTGAGTTTACATTCTACTTATAATAAAGAAATGCTAAATAACATACCAACAGCCTTGCCCCTAAAGTGGTTATCAAACCAGCCTCTCTGGCAAGAGTAGTAACTCATAACAAAAGAAATATTGCAGGCCCCTGAAAAACTTGGACAATGACAGCTGGAGGCTCAACATATAGAAGAGTCTACCAGCCCATGTAATTCCCCTGTATTTGTTGTAAGAAAGAAATCAGGTAAGTAGAGCATGATAATGAATTTAAGACCAGCTAATAAGGTGATTTAACCAATGTGTCCTTTACAGCCTGGACTTCCTTTACTAGCTTTGTTACCAAAATCATGGATTATAATAATAACTGATTTGAAAGATTATTTTTTCTCCGTTCTCTTGGATGAGAAACAGATAGAGAAAGGTTTGCTTTCTCAGTACATACTCTGAATAATAGTCATCCACTAAGTATATTTGACTAGACAGGGACTAACACAGGGAATGTTATATAGGCCAATTTTACGTCAGTATTTTGTGCAACAACCATTAGAAATAATCTGTACGCAATTTCCTTGATCTATAACTTATTGTGTGGATGACATTTTGTTGGCTGACTTTGACAAAGATGCTTTAGAGAATATTTTTAAGGTAATACAAAGAATTCTGCCATCCTGGGAGTTATGGATTGCTCCAGAAATGAATACAAAAATAGATTCACTTAGTTATCTGGGTTATAAAATCAGTCAACAACAACAAAAAAATTCAACCATAAATGGTACAGATCCATAGGAACCAATTGCGAACTCTTGAGGCTTTAAAAAAAATTAATGGGATATATTAACTCACTAGGCCTACAATTGGATGAAATACATATGAGTTAAGTAATTTGTTTCAAACATTACAAGGAAATTCAAACTTAAGCAGTCCAAGATGTCTAACAGCTGAAGCAGAAAAAGAGTTAACTCTGGTAGAACAAAGACTACAAGAGGCATATGTAGAGAGAATTAATCCTAAACTTGATTGTATTCTGGTCATTCTACCTTCAACACATTCTTCTACTGGCTCACTATGCAAAGGGAAGATAGTATTATGGAATGGATCTTCTTAGCTGATAAATAAAGTCAAAAATTGAAGACATATATAGAAAAGCCTTCTGAATTAATAATAAATGGCAGAATATGCCTATGTTAATTGTCAGAAACAGATCCAGCCAAAATTGTAATATGTCTTACAAACGCTGAGATTATGTCTTTATGGGTGATCAGTGAAGACTGGCAAAGGACTTGTAGTAATTACTTGAGTGAAATTAATGACAGACATCCAAAAAGCAAACATGTACAGTTTATAAAAAGAACTAATTAGATGAATCAGCATATAGTAAAGAGAATACCATTTTTAGAGGCATCAACATTTTATATTCACGCAGACAAGGTGAGGGTGGCAGTTTATAAGTCGGTTAAAATAAGCAAGGCGGTCAAAAGTCCATCTACATTGGTTCAAAAATCAGAATTGTATGCAATTCTTATGGTATTACTAGCTTTCTCTGAACTTCTTAACATAATTACTGACTCTATATATGCAGAATGAGCTGCTTTGCATATAGAGACTACTGAATTGTACCTGATGATTCAGAATTAGTTTTTGCTATTTATAGATTTACAGCAGACCATCAGAACTAGAAATTATCCATTATGTACTCCTCAAATTAGATCTCGTACAGGTTTGCCAGGTCCATTAGCTCAAGGAAACGACAAAATTGACCAATTACTAATAGGAAATGTATTAAAAGCTTCATAGTTTCATAAGAAACATAATGCTAATGTGAAAGGTTTAAAGAAAAAAATTTCATCACTTAACAAGTCAAAGAAATAATAAACAACTGTCCTACACATTCTCTATACAACCAGACTCCATTACCTGCTGGTAGTAACCCTAGTGGTACCAAAACAAATGACATCTGGCGGTTAGATGCCTTCCATTTTACAGAATCTGGAAAACAAAGGTATATACACCTTATCATTAACACATACTCAGGATTTCAATGGGCAACTGGTTTATGTTTTGAAAAGGCTAATTGTGTAATTATACATTTATTGAAAATAATGGCGATTATGGGTATAAGTGCACAAATTAAAACTGATAATGCTCCAATACGATGAAGCAATCCATTGCATGTTACTGGTATACCACATAATCCCACAGGACAAGCAGTTATAGAAAGAGCCGATTGTACCTTCAAGGAGGTGCTTATTAAACAAAAAGGGAAAGTAAAAATTCCCAGGGACAGACCAAATAATGTCTTGTTAACTCTCAATTTTCTTAATGTTGGTGAGAAAGGAACAACAACTGCTGAGAGACACTGGGTTATCAAAAAAACTGAGGAACCATGCCAACCAATATGCTATAAGGATGTGTTGACGTTAGAATGGAAACTTGCAACAGTTTTAAAGATGGGGACATGGTTGTGCTTATGTATGTACAGGGAATGAAAAGGTATGGTGATCAACAAAGACTTCTAAAGATTAGATCAGATGAGGGAAAGCCTCTTATCACCGGAGACATGGATGTCTTCACAAAGCAAATAGACCAGATGATTCACAGACTGCCTCAGTTACCAATTTCTCCAAAATATGCATACAAATCAACTTCAAAAGGCTAGCCCAAGTGATCAATCACACAGAGACTGGATAAACACTGAGCCTGGATAATACATAGATTGGGTAAGCAATACAGACAATACTGGATAAACACAGAGACTAGGCAATAAATGCTACAGCTAGCTTTTTTCAGAATAACCAATTTTTTCCCTTGAGGCCCAAACAGAAATGCTTTACCCTACTTCAGCAGGAAAAGAAGACCATTGTCCCAACCCTTAAGTTGGATTGGTTGGTTTTGGTTGATTGATGTGTTATGGATGTTATCATGTAGTGTGGGAATTTTTTTAAAATTATTGTACAGTAATAGAAATGTAAGGGTTTTGTTTAATTACAGAATTGTATACTGATAGAAATGTAAAGTTTTTTGTTTAATTATTCAATACTAATAGAAATTTAAGGTTTTTGTTTAATTCTTATATATTAATAGTAATTTAAGGTTTTATTTAATTATTGTATTCTATATTGATAGAAATGTAAGTTTTTTTTTTGTTTAACTCTTCCATATTGATAGAAGTTTAAGAGTTTTGTTTAATTGTTGCAAACCGACCTGGCCCATGCTGCCCCACATTTGGGTACCAGGTGACCCGGCCCACGGGTCAGTCAACAGGGTCTAGCAAGAGAGAGAGTGGGCATGGAGGGGCAAGAGATTCGAAGAATGGAAAATGTTCATCAGAGAGTGCTCAGCTGTTGCAGGCTGTTGAAAACAAATCTCTTGTCAGGGTATATGGCCCAAGATGGCTGCAAAGATGACAGCCGCTTTCTGCTAGGAGTCGGCTCCCAACAGCAAACTGATAGAAATTTAAAGTCATTTTGCTTGAACTATTGTATATTAGTAGAAATTTTAAAAGAACTTCAAGGTTTTTGTTTAATTATTCTGTATTGCTTGAGATTTAAGGTATTTGTTTAATTATTTAAGTTGATAAATGTTTAAATTATTTTGCTTGAACTAATGCATATTGATAGATATTTCTACATACGTGTAAAACTCCCTAACTTATACTAAAATTTTTATGTTTTCTGAGATCTACTAAGTGAATTGAATGGGAACAGGAAGGAAAACGCTAGCTGGGAGCTGCTTGTCGTCAAGTTGGTCACGCCAGTGTGGAAAATGTGTTGTTGACTTTTCCATATGTTGGAGAGGGGATCTAAAGCAAAACAGGTCATATTTCATATTCCTAACCACAGAGAGTCAGCTATGGTCTTTCTGTTGGTATAGGATGACAGTTGGTCTCCAGAATTTCCATGGTAGAGAAGAGCAGGCAAACTGAGAGCAGAGCTGGCAGCACATTCAGCAGGACATGCAAAACCTTTGTAGAGTTAGTGACTGACTCTGAGTGAGATACAGTGAATGAAAAACTTACCGTATTCAGATCAAGTCAACACAAGAGGCAGGAGCATTGTCCCTAATTAAGGAAGCCAAAATTGCAATCTGAATATTTCATAACGTTTTCAAATAATCTAGATGTGACATCTCTGTTTGTAAAGTTCTGTCCTTTCAACTCTGCAAGCTCACCTTCAGGACTCAGCCCAGCCCATCTGTACCATATATAAGCCACTGATCAGAGCTCCATACACTCATCTGTTCAGCTCTGCCCTGCCTCTCTCCACTTCCAAGCCTTCTCACTTCAAGGAACCATGTCTTACCAAACCACCATCAAGAATCAAACCAGCCACCGAGGCTACAGTGCCAGCTCAGCCAGAGTGCCTGGGCTCAACCGCTCTGGTTTCAGCAGTGTGTCTGTTTACTGCTCCCGGGGCAGCGGTGGCTCCGGTGCAGTGTGTGGACAAGGTGGCTCTGGCAGCAGGAGCCTCTCTGGTGTGGGGAGCTCCAAGAGGATCTCCATCGGAGGGGGCAGCTGTGGCATTGGAGGAGGCTATGGCAGCCGATTTGGAGGAGGCTTCGGCTATGGAGGAGGAGCAGGAGGTAGATTTCACTTCGGAGGTGGAGCTGGCTTTGGTGGTGGCTATGGGGGAGCTGGCTTCCCTGTGTGCCCACCTGGAGGCATCCAAGAAGTCACCATCAACCAAAGCCTCCTCACTCCTCTGAACCTGCAAATCGACCCCACCATCCAGCGGGTCAGGACTGAGGAAAGGGAGCAGATCAAGACCCTCAACAACAAGTTTGCCTCCTTCATCAACAAGGTGAGACATGGTCCTTCCTAGAGCAGCCTGTGTGTCTGCAGTGAATGCTGAAGAGAGGTGGGCAGAAGAGGCTTCAGGCTTGGCTCTGATATTGCCTCTGTTTCTAGTTAATCTCTGCCCTGGTACTGTGCTCCTCTTCAGTTAGAGTGGCATCTGTAAATCAGGATCAGAGTTCCTCTTCTCCAGAGCTTGCCCCATAAATGTATCTGGTTACAATGTACTGAGATTTTCTAAAGACTCACAGAACAGAGGACTGTAGTGACATGGAAGTCTTTATCTATATATAGTGCAGTTGGGAGCCATGCCAGCCTCACCAAGCTGCAGCACACTCCAGCAACATGCTGCTAGGCTGCCAGCGCCCTGCATGAGTACTTTGCCATCCTTAGAGAGGTGACTTTGGGAACTTCACTCTGGATTGTCCCTCTCAGACACAGAACCAGGTTCTACCTATATTGAATGGGTTTAGGCAGGCAGCCTGAGAGGGCACACATACTAGTGAAGGGGTCATAGAAGGATGAAACTCAAACTTCTCCCCCTCACACTCGCTCCTCAGGTGCAGTTCCTGGAACAGCAGAACAAGGTCCTGGAAACCAAGTGGGCCCTGCTGCAGGAGCAGGGCACCAAGACTGTGAGGCAGAGCCTGGAGTCTATATTTGAGCAGTACATCAGCAAGCTCCAGAGACAGCTGGATAGCATTCTTGGGGAGAGGGGCTGCCTGGACTCAGAGCTGAGGAACATGCAGGACACTGTGGAGAACTACAAGAGCAAGTGAGTTATGAAGAAGGAAGAATCCAGTTTTTTAAAGTGTATAAAAATGGCAACCCAAATGTAGATATGGACTCCATGAATAAGAATTCAGTCTCCTAACTTAATAAAAATAGAAGCCCTAATCTAAACAAGGGCTCCATGATTTAAGAAAGTTTGGTTATGGAGATGAAAATGACAGCTTCTTGTCAAAGAGCAAACTCCCAGTGTGAAGGAGGGTTATTTAATGATAGGGGAAAGAAAAGGAACAAACTAGTTAATAAAAAATATCACCTTTATCCAGATGTGGGTAAGTTATAGGAATGGCATCTGGGTCAGAGGCTGCCACTGATGCCGTCAACCTGCTGCCTACAATGCAATGCACCCTTCTTCTTCTAGATACAAAGATGAAGTCCACAGGCACACAGCAGCTGAGAATGAATTTGTCACCCTGAAGAAGGTGAGCTGACTAATCACAGAGATGCTGTCTCAACTGAAAGACAGAAATGGCCTTACCCGTCTGGTCCATTCTAGAGAAGTGGTGGTCATGGAGACAGAGGTGAATGGTCTCGGCAAGAGAGTTAACCAGATTCTATGTTGTTCATGGTTTCTTCAGGATGTAGACACTGCCTACATGAACAATGTTGAACTGCAAGCCAAGGCAGGCAGTCTTACAGATGAGGTCAACTTCCTGAAAATTATTTATGATGCAGTAAGTCCCCAAATTCTCCCCTTCTCTCTCTTCCTCCTTCACACTTCCTTTATATTCTCCTGTGCAAAATCAGGACCTCTATGATCTTCACAGTCAGAGATGACCATGGCTCTTTCTGTTCTGCAGGAACTGTCTCAGATGCAAACTCACATCTCAGACACATCTGTGGTCCTCTCCATGGACAACAACCGCAGCCTGGACCTGAATAGCATCATTGCTGAGGTCAAGGCCCAGTATGAGGACATTGCTCAGAGAAGTCGGGCTGAGGCTGAGTCCTGGTACCAGACTAAAGTGAGTGTTGGTGTGGAGTCTATTGTGGATGGGCGTGACCCACCTTGAACTCTATAAGTTTTGACTTTTATATTGGAGACCCGTTAAAAAAAATTCTGGTATTATCTCAGCAAATGCACTGTGTATATGTGCTATAGAATGATGTTTTATTCTAAGAGCAAAAGAACCCAGAGATAGATGCAAAGTTGCCATAAATGGGGTCCATGGCTCTCATTGCTTGAGCTGTACTTTGAACAATGGTCCTCAGCAGACACTAGAGAACAATTTCACTTCTCGAGGGAACTATGGAGTCTGTGGTCTCCTAAAGCTTCTCTTGAGGAAGCCATCATATCCATGATAGTGCGTGACACTTAGAGGTGGATTTGCTTCTGCACATAAAAACTCACATAAACGTTCTCTGTCGGATTGACCTTCAGTATAAGGAGCTGCAGGTCACAGCTGGAAGACATGGGGACAACCTGCGCAACACCAAGCAGGAGATCGCTGAGATCAACCGCATGATCCAGAGGCTGAGATCTGAGATTGATCACGTTAAGAAGCAGGTGGGGTGTACAGAGAAATGTTTGGGTTGCTGGTCATTGCTTCCTGTCCTCTAACTCTTGCTCCCTGCAAATCAAGGTCTTGGGGCTCAGCTTCTCCAGAGATGCATATTCCAAGACTGTTTTTTTTTTCTCTCTGTCCAGAATGTGAAGCTGGAAGATGCCATTGCTGACGATGAGCAGCGTGGGGAGATGGCCCTGAAGGATGCCAGGGGCAAGCTGGAAGGGCTGGAGGATGCCCTGAAGAAGGCCAAACAGGACATGATCAGGCAGCAGAAGAACTACCAGGAGGCTTTGAATGTCAAGTTGGTCCTTGATACCGAGATTGCCACCTATGAGGAGCTGCTGGAGGGAGAGGAGGACAGGTGGGTAACTATATACTACAACCCCTGAGGACACCTCCATGTTGTCATCACTGAGCACAGGATGAGGAAGCACTAGGTGTGGCCACAGTGGTCCCTTTGAGAAATTCCTTGCTGTGCTGGAGAGATGGCTCAGTGCTTATGAGCACTGTTTGCTCTTTCAGAGTTACTGAGTTCAATTCCCAGCAACCACATCATGGCTCACAACCATGTCTACTGGGATCCAATGCCCTCTTCTGGTGTGTCTGAAATCAGCTACAGTGTACTCGTATACATAAAGTAAATGAAGAAATATTAAAACAAAACAAAAAACCCACCTCTTTCCAGGGGATTCTCCCTGAACTTTCACTGGACTGAGGGTTCTCTCATTCGGACTGAAGAGATACCTGCCTAGTTCTTACCTGCTGCTTTCCTCTCCTAGATTGAATGGTGAAGGTGTTGGACCAGTCAACATCTGTAAGTACTCTGCTTGCCAGCCTCCCCTTCTCCTGCCCTTGTTACTGGGTCAGCTGTTCACAGTGTGCTCACCATGCCTGTGGTGTCCCTTTCCTCCTTCACAGCTGTGGTGCAGTCCACCATGTCCAGCGGCTATGGCAGCAGCTTAGGCCTGGGAGGAGGCAGCAGCTACTCCTATGGCAGTAGCCATGGCCTTGGAGGTGTCTTCAGTGCTGACAGTGAAAGAGGCAACAGTGGTGTCCCCATCTCCTCCGGTGGCAGCTCTTCTACCATCAAATACACCTCCACCTCCTCCAGCAAGAAGAGCTACAGGCACTGAAGTCCCAACCATCAGAGCTTGTCCTAGACCCCAGCTGCTCTCGCTTTAGAGTTCTGTGCTCAGGGGCTTCTCTTTGCTTTCCTCCCAACTATGCTCTCTCCTTGGGACTGAGGAGGCTGGGTCCTGTTGCTCTTCTTTTTGTCCCCATGGCTCCCATCTTCTCATTGACATCCTCTGAGCTCACATCACACTTCACTCCCACTTGCTGCTTCATTTTGTATTTTGTTTCCAGGCTCCTGATTAGCTAGCTCTATCTCTGGGGTGCCTGTGAAAGTGTGTGTCTGTGCCCTTCATTCTGGAAATCATTGGCTGGATCCTATTCAAGAAATGAGCAACTCCTTTTTAGTTTCCAGTGACCAGCGAAACTCCATCTTTCAACATCATAAACCTCCCTGTGCGTAACTGTGACTGCCCAGTCACTGGTCCTTTGATGTTGAGTCTATGCTCATGTGATGTCTTCTCTGCTCTTTGCTTTCTTGAAATTGCTAAATAAAGCGGGGTTATAAATAAAAACTTTTTCCACGTGCATTTTTGGTTGCTAATTGTTTTAAATTAGATGTTCAGTAGCCTTGCTTGATTTTACTGAAATTATCCTATGGCTCAATATATTTAAGTTGATGTTGGCTAAGGGCTTAATATAAACTGGCATTCATTATATTCCTTGTATTTATAACATATCCAGAAATTTTATCTTGAAGGGTGTTATGTTTTGGCAAAGTACTTTTCTGCCTCTAATGAGATGACTATATGATTTTAATATTCCAGTTTGTCAATATGGTGGATTCCATTAACTGATTTGAACCATTCCTGCATGTCAGTGATGTAGCCTTCTTGACCACAAAGGATGATCTTCTTGGTGTGTTCTTTGATTCATTTTTTTCAAGTATTTTATTGAGACCTTTTGCATCTACGTTCATAAGGGAAATTGGTCTCTATTTTTTTTGTTCATTTATTTATTTTTATTGGGTATTTTCTTTATTTACATTTCAAATGTTATTCTCTTTCCTGGTTTCCCCTCTACAAACCCACTACCCCTACCCTCTACCCCTGCTTCTATGAGGGTGTTCCCCCACCCACTCACTCACTCCTGTCTCCCCACCCCAATATTCTCCTACACTGGGACATCGAGCCTTCACAAGACTAAGGGCTTCTCCTCCCATTGATGCCAGACAAGGCCATCCTCTGCTACATATGTGGCTAGAGCCATGGGTCCCTCCATGTGTACTCTTTGGTTGGTGGTTTAGTCCCTGGGAGCTCTGGGGGGTCTGCTTGGTTGACATTGTTGTTGTTCCTATGGGGTTGCAAACCCTTTCAGCTCATTCAGTTCTTTCTCTAATTCCTCTATTGAAGACTCTGTGGTCAGTCCAATGGTTGACTGTGAGCATCTGTATTTGTCAGGCTCTGGCAGTCTCTCAGGAGACAGCTATATCAGGTTCCTGTCAGCAAGCAATTCTTGGCATCCACAATAGTGTCTGGGTTTGGTGACTGTATATGGGATGAATTCCCATGTTGGGCAGTCTCTGGATGGCCTTTCCTTCAGTCTCTGCTCCATACTGTCTCCATATTTCCTCCCACCCATGAGTATATTGTTCCCCCTACTAAGAAGGACCAAAGCATCCACACTTTCTGAGGATCTGCCAGATTGATTTCCAGAGTTAACTGGTCTCTTGTCAGGAGCGACCCTGCTTATACATTAACTCCTTACAAAGTCTTGGCCTCTGTGGGAAAGCACTAAGAAAAAATAATCATAGATCTTATAGATGGGTAGCCTTTGGTGGGAAAGTACTAGCTTAGATCAGAACAAATGGCCATAGATCTTATGGGCAGGTACATAGTGGCCTGTTCTGCCCTGCTTCTTCTGTGAACTTTTCACCCAGCCAATATCCTGTTCTTGAGAACATCTGTATTCCTCCTGAGAACACCTGCACTCCCCAGAAACAAAGAAGACCCTATGTCATCCCCCTCCCTATATCCTGCTTCTTTGTGTATATAACCTGTGTGGGAACAATTAAAATTTGACAGCTTGATCAGATCTCTTGACTTGCTGTTCTTTCTTTGTGTGCCCTTGTCCCCCAGTTCTCTCTTCCAGGTCCTCTGATCCCAGTTCACTGCCCCATGAACTGGGGAACTATTCTATTGTTTTTTAAAATTTTATTTATTTATTTTATGTGTATGAATGCCCAATTTATAGGAAGAAGGCATTAGATCCCAGGATAGATGGTTGAGAACCACCATGTGGTTTCTAGGAATTAAAGAACTCTTGAAGAGTAGATAGTGCTCTTAACTGTTGCGCCATCTCTCCAGCCCCTCATTATTTGGTTTTTATGTGGTTTGGGTATCAGGGTTACTTTGACCTCATAAATGAATTGGGTAATGTTCCTCCTGCTTCTATTTTGTGGAATAATTTGAGGAGTATTGATGTTAAGTCTTCTGTGAAAACCTACTAAAATTCTGCTCAAACTTCACCAGATTCTGGGTCTGCTCAAACCCCACCAGGCTCTGGGATCAATTTTGGTTGGGGACTTGTAATTACAGCTTCTCTTTCACTAGATGTCATATATTGGCTTCAATGACAATCAGATATTAACTTTGGTAAGTGGTATATCTGTGGTTGATTTGAGTTGTAGAACATCTGTATCTGTGCAGGCTCTTCTGACTTTGGGGTCTCCATTGAAGAGTCAGGTGTCATTCTTATAGGTTTGCCTTTATATGTTACTTGGCCATTTTCCCTTGCAGCTTTTAATATTGTTCTTTGTTCTGTATGTTTAGTGTTTTGATTATTATAAGCTGTGAGGAATTTCTTTTCTAACACATTCTATTTGATGTTCTGTATGCTTTGCATACCTTTACAGACTTCTCCTTTAGGTTAGGACATTTTCTTCTACGATTTTGTTGAGAATGATTTATGTGCCTTTGAGCTGGTCTTCTATTCTTTCCTCTATTCCTGTTATTCATACATTTGGTCTTGTCATCGTGTATCAGATTTCCTGGACGATTTGTACCAAGATTTTTTAGGATTTAACATTTTCTCTCACCAAAGTCTCCATTTCTTGTACAGAGACACTGTACAAGATCAATGTCTGAGATTCTCTTTTCTGTCTTTTGTATTCTGCTGGTGAGGCTTGCCTCTAGGGGTTACTTTTCAGTTTCCTAAGTTTTTCAGTTCCAGGTTTCCCTCAGTTTGGGTTCTCTTTATTGTTCCTATTTCTACTTTCAGACTTTGGATGGTTTTATTAACTTCCTTCCACCATTATTTTGTGTTTTCACAGGTCTTTAAAAGGGATCAATTGGTTTTCTCGTTAAGGTCCTCTACCATAATCACTAAGACCACTTTAAGATCTTTGCTTCTTCATCTGTATTGTAATTCTCAGGGCCTGCTGTCCTAGGGTAGCTGGGCTCCTCTACAGGAGAAATATTTTCATGGCTGTTGTTATTTTTTTTATACTGGCCCCTAGGTATCTTGGTTTGGGGCGATTGTAATTCTAGATTCAGATATCTGGTCTTGCCTTTGTTGTGTGGGTGTTTTGTTCCCAGTTTTCTATTGCCATATTTCATTCATAAGGTGTGGTAGATGTGTGTTGCTTATTAAGGAGTTCTGTGACCCTGCTAGGAGTGACCAGTAGGATTTTCAGGTAAAATGTGGTTTTAGGAATAGGGAGCTGACACTTAGAAATGAGAATGGGCTGGAAAGGATTAGGGAGAGGCAGATCCCTAAGGAAGGAAGGAAGTAGCGTGTTGTACCAGCAAAAACTGCACCTTCAAGAAAGACGAGGAGAGAACATTTCAAATATGGAACACACAATATGAAAGAATGATGAGTATGTCTGCTGGCAGTTTCACTATTCTAGGTTGTAACCTTCCATGCAGAAAATATGACATCCCCAAAATCTATACAATTATGGTTTACAAATAAAAGCTACATCAAGTTAGACACTAAAGCATGGGGTCCTAAGAGATGGCTTAGTGAATAAGAACACTTGTTGCTGTTTCAGAGGAGTCAGGATCAGTTCGCAGCACCCAGACAGAGACTCACAATCATGTGTAAATTTCAAGAGAAAATATAAGAGATTAATATAAGTATGGACTGGAACAGCTGGAAAGGCTGTCTCGTCATCTGGGATTAGCACTCCTTTCTGAGGCTGATCTAGAAGCAAGTTTCTGGATACAGTATCACTTTGAGGCAGGATCTATCAGGGAGTTGGAACAGTTTGTCTCAGCATCTCAGCATCTCTGCATCTCTGCATCTCTGCATCTCAGCATCTC